AAGTAGCCTAACTGGGAGACATCCTCCACTAGGGCAGACCGACACCCCACACCTCCACTACGGTGAGTACCCACCTCTAGGGGTCAGGGACCCACTTGAGCAGGCAGTCTGTCCGTTCTCAGATCTCCACCTCCGTGTTGGGAGATCCGCTGCTCTCTTCAAAGCTGTCAGACAGAGTCGTTTGCATTTGCAGAGGTTTCTGCTGCTTTTTTGTTGTTGTTTTTGTTGTTGTTTAGCTGTGCCCTGTCCCCAGAGGTGGAGTCTACAGAGTCTGGCAGGCCTCCTTGAGCTGCTGTGAGCTCCACCCAGTTCGATCTTCCCAGGGCTTTGTTTACCTACTTAAGCCTCAGCAATGGCGGGTGCCCCTCCCCCAGCCTCGCTGCTGCCTTGCAGTTAGATCACAGACTGCTGTGCTAGCAATGAGGAAGGCTCCGTGGGCGTGGGACCCTCCCGGCCAGGTGTGGGATATAATCTCCTGGTGTGCCTGTTTGCTTAAAGCGCAGTATTGGGGTGGGAGTTACCCGATTTTCCAGGTGTTGTGTGTCTCAGTTCCCCTGACTAGGAAAAGGGATTCCCTTCCCCCTTGCGCTTCCCAGGTGAGGCGATGCCTCGCCCTGCTTCACCTCTCGCTGGTCGGGCTGCAACAGCTGACCAGCACCGATTGTCCGGCACTCCCTAGTGAGATGAACCCAGTACCTCAGTTGAAAATGCAGAAATCACCTGTCTTCTGTGTAGCTCGCGCTGGGAGCTGGAGACTGGAGCTGTTCCTATTCGGCCATCTTGCTCCGCTCCCCCATGAGTAAGTTCTTTAGTGGGGATCTGTGAGACCCTGGTGCAACCATCACCCAAGCAGTATACACTGCACCATATTTGTTGTCTTTTATCACTTGCCCAACCCCCCACTCTTCCCCTCAAGTCCCCAAAGTCTATTGTATCATTCTTATGCCTTTATGTCCTCATAGCTTAGGTCCCACTTATCAGTGGAAACCTGTGATGTTTGGTTTTCCATTTCTGAGTTACTTCACTTAAAATAATAGTCTCCAGTCTCATCCAGGTCATTGCAAATGCTGTTAACTCATTCCTTTTTATGGCTGAGTAGTTTTCCAACGTGTATATATATACCACAGTTTCTTTATCCACTCATTGATTAACGGGCATTTGGGTTGGTTCCATGATTTTGCTATTGTGACTTGTGCTGCTATAAACATGTGTGTATAAGGAACTTTTTCAAATAATGACTTCTTTTCCTCTGGGTAGATACCCAGGAGTGAAATTGCTGGATCAAATGGTAGTTCTACTTTTAGTTCTTTAAGGAATCTCCCCACTGTTTTCCATAGTGGCTGTACTAGTTTACATTCCCACCAGCATTGTAGAAGTGTTCCCTGATCACTGCATCCCCGCCAACATCTACTGTTTTTTGATTCTTTGATTATGGCCATTCTCACAGGAGTAAGGTGGTATCGCATTGTGGTTTTGATTTGCATATCCCTGATCATTAGTGATGTTGAACATTTTTTCCTATGTTTGTTGGCCATATGAAGAATTCTTCTTCTAAGAATTGTCTATTCATTTCATTAGCCCACTTTTTGATGGGATTGATTGTTTTTTTTCTTACTCATTTGAGTTTGTTGTAGATTCTGGATATTAGTCCTTTGTCAGATGTATAGATTGTGAAGATTTTCTCCCACCCTTGTCTGTTTACTTTGCCAACTGTTCCTTTCGCCATGCAAAAGCTCTTTAGTTTAATTAGGTCCCAGTTATTTATCTTTATTTTTATTGCAATTGCTTTTGGGGTTTTGGTCATGAAATCCTTGCCTAAGCCAATGTCTAGAAGGGGTTTTTCAATGTTATCTTCTAGAATTTTTATAGTTTCAGGTCTTAGGTTTAAGTCCTTAATCCATCTTGAGTTGATTTTTGTATAAAGGGAGAGATGAGAATCCAGTTACATTCTCCTACTTGTGGCTAGCCAGTTATCCCAGCACGATTTGTTGAAAAGGGTGTCCTTTCCCCACTTTATGTTTTTGTTTGCTTTGTCGAAGATCAGTTGGCTGTAAATATTTGGGTTTATTTCTGGGCAGCCTGACATTTTTAATTTCTAAGAGTTCTAGCTAGTTCTTTACTACATTGACTTTTTCTTGTTCAATCTCTTTTATTTGTTTCAGTCTTTAAGCTCTCTTTAATTGGAAAGTATCTCTTAATTTATTTCTCTGAGCATCCTAAAAAGGCTTAAAAGTTTCTCCCAATCATTGGAATACCATGCAGCTGTTAAAAATAATAAGGTAGTCCCATGGGTATTAATATCAAATGATCTCTAAACATGTTATTAAGTGAAAAAGGCAAGGTAAATAATAGCATGTGTAAATGCTACCATTTATATAAAAATGTACGTGTGTGTGTGTGTATATATATATGTTTGTATATGCAACAATTATCTAGAAAAGACAGCAAGAAATGGGTAACAGTGGTTGCCTCTGGGGAGGGAAACTGGGTGGTTAGGTGAAAGAGGTGGAGATAGACTTACTTTTCACTGTTTACCCTTTTTGTACCTTTGAATTTTGTACTACATGCATCTATTACCTAGTCAAAAATAAATACGTAATTTATTTTTAAAAATAAAGTCTTTGTTGAACTGCTCCATAAAATTAATTTCATCCAGAGAAATTAATGTTTTTGGTGGTTGATTTTAACATTATATGTCTTTATAAATTTTAGAATTTGAGTTATAGGTTTCTTTTGAGTAGAAAAGGTTTTTAATTTCTCTCTCCCCCTATTTAATGGTTTCAGAGTTTCTCCCACTTGGCCATCTGGGCCCCCAGTCCACAACTAGGCCTTATAATGACATTTCGGGGCTCCAGTTTAATAATGATATTGGAAATATCATACATACACATTCAGTTACTGACTCAGCAAGTGGCTTCATTCAGTAGCTATTGATGAGGCTGTGTCTTTATCAGCTGCAACCTATAGCTTTTTTCTCTTTTCAGCCTCTCATAAATAAGACGTATATTTTAACCAAACCCAGGCTTCATATAGTGATTCTGGCTCTGGTTCCTGCCGCGCATGAAACAGTTAAGCACTTTTTAATCCTTTTACCTGACAGAAGCAAAACTACTAGATTTCAGTGCTAGACTGAAAGCCAGCTGTGGTTTCAGCCCTATTTAAAACTTGGTGTCCGTGTTTCATTTCTGGCCCACAAAGATGTTTATGTTGTTCAGAATCTGGCTATATTTTTTGTGCTATTTAACTTATTGTTCTATGTGTTTGGAGCATAGGAGTTACATCACAACACCCAGTATGTTACTTTGGCTAGTAATTTCCATATTTCTTTTTTGAGAAAATTAAAAGTAATAATTATAAAAGTAGTATCTCATTACATAGAAAAAATAGAAAATTACTCATATTCCATCCGTTCTAATACTGTTAGAATTTTAAAATATTTCCTTTTAATCTTTTTCTCCTGTATCATCTCCTATTTGTATAATTTGTATAACAATTTTAAACTGTGTCATGCCAAGCATTCGTCTGTGTTGCTATGTAGTCTCTATGACCATCATTTTAATAACTGAATACTAATCACCAAACTACTCAATTATAATTCACTTCCCACATTATTAAAAATTAAGGAGCTTCCAATGATGCTACAAAGAAATTGTCTATGCATGTACTTTTTCCTCTTAACAGTCTGTATTTGGAGGGTGGAGGGTTGGAAGTGAGAGGTGCTAAGCAATGGGACTGCCATCATTCTACACAGATGATTAGCACAAAGGCATTACAGGACTAGCATAATACATGGCTGAGGTTCATAATGATGACCCTAATATATGAAAAGGTAAAATTATATAGAAGTTAAAAATGTATTTCAGAAACATTCCAAACCAACATAGCTAAGAGTAAGTTTTGTAATTAAAGGATTAGTTTTACAAGGGATTAGATTCACAGTTCACAATGTGGATCATCTGACACTGCTGGATAAGGCATCACATCTTCACTAACTTCCAAAACAGAACATTTTGGGCCACACTGATAAAGTTCACTTTTTCACTATAATACTAACCTGATATTATTTACACAGTCTTCATGAGCTTCAGAAAGTGTTTTTATGTGCTTTGAAGATATAGGGTCAAAAAGCAGAACTTCAGTTTGTTCACAAGCAACTGTCAGCACTGACCTGAAAGTAAATGACACATTTATCTTGTTTAGTTTTCTAGCATTCACTGGTTATTGATGTTCACTCATTTATAATGACACAAGCTATAGGTAAATAACTTTTTTTTTTTGCCCATGTTAGCAAATGTTTAAAAGATTGATACTGTCTGTGGTTGGCAATAGTAGTAGGAAATGGTACTCTCATACATTATGGTGGAGTGTAATCTGGTACAGCTTATGTTCGGACAGCACCTCTAAAGTATCAGAATTTAAAATGGGCATATGTTTTGACTCAGCAATTTTTTCTGGTAATTTAATCTAGAGAACTAATCACTTACAAATACCAAGAGACATATAAAGATATGCTTCATTGTAAAAAGGAGAAATTTCAAGTATCTTCAATGTACATGACAGAGGGAATGACTGATTATACAAGCCATGGTACACAATACTTTGAAATACTGTAGAGAAGTTAAAAAGAAAGGGGTGGCTTTATATGAATATGAAAGAACTCAAAAACATATTTTTAAATAAAAAAGGTGGTTGCCAAAAAATGTGCATTGATGAGACAACTTAGGGGAAAAATCATATACAACCAAATTATATATTTCTTCATCACTATCAATAAAATGCACTGGAAAATAGTTGGCATATAACCTATCAGACCAGTTAAACATAGTCAAATTTATTGGTCTTTTCATTCATGGTTTTTTAGGATTGTCTCTTGTTTCAGGCCTTCCCCACTGCAAAGTTATATTTTTATAAAACTTGTATAAACCTCATTTTGATTTGTGAAAGTCTATTGTATTTTATTTATTTTGATTAAGTATTAGTTTTTTGTGGGTGCTCTTTCAGATTCATTTCATTTCTAGCAAATGAAATCCTGAGTATTTTATACAACTAAGATGAATGTACATAAGATAGAATTTTAAATAGCCAAAAACTTTTCTATTAGGAACAAACTTTTTAGGTAAAGTGGGAGATTAAAAAACAACTGTTAAACTGAAATCTTGGCTGGGTGCAGTGGCTCACGCCTGTATTCCCAGCACTTTGGGAGGCCGAGGTGGGCGGATCACAAGGTCAAGAGTTCGAGACCAGCCTGGCCAACATAGTGAAACCCTGTCGCTACTAAAAATTCAAAAAAAGTTAGTCGGGCATGGTGTTGGGTGCCTGTAGTCCCAGCTACTTGGGAGGCTGAGGCAGGAGAATCACTTGAACCCAGGAGGTGGAGGTTGCAGTGAGCCAAGATCATGCTACTGCGCTCCAGCCTAAGTGACAGAGTAAGACTCTGTCTCAAAAAAACAAAAACATTGAAATCTTTTCTCTAATCATGGACTTGTCTGCATAAACCCTTTTTTAAGACATTTGAACTTCAAAGTTTAATAATATCTGAAATTTTTTATGCTAGTCATTGGGAGTAAAAATATTCAAATTAATATTTGTAATTTTTGAAGACATATATATAGCTATTTCTTTTTGTAAGTCAGAAGAACCCTGAAATGAAATTTTTCCCTTTTGTGCATAAGTAGTGAATCAATGATTCTGGGAGACTTTTTTTTTTTTTTTTTTTTTTTGGTGGAGATGGGATTGCACTACCGTTGCTCAGGCTGGTCTCAAATTCCTGGCCTCTAGTGATCCTCCCACATCAGCCTCCCAAAACTCTGGGATTACAGGCGTGAGCCACCAGTCCCAGACTCTGGGAGATTCTTTTTTTCTCAGACGAAGTCTTGCTCTGTCACCCAGGCTGAAGTGCAGTGGCACGATCTCAGTTCACTGCAACCTCTGCCTCCCTGGTTCAAGCGATTCTCCTACCTCAGCCTCCTGAGTAACTGGGATTACAGGCACCGCCACCATACCCAACTAATTTTTGTATTTTTAATGGAGACAGGGTTTCACCATGTTGCCCTGGCTGGTCTCAAACCTCAAGTGATCCTCCTGCCTCAGCCTTCCAGAGTGCTGGGATTATAGATGTGAGCCACCACACAAAGCCAACTTCTGGGAGATTCTTAATCTTGAACATTGTATAAAAGGGATCTATAAAACTGTTAGTTATTGTTTTGCTTGAATCAAACTATAGTATATTTTTGTACATGGTATGATATGTATCTTTTAAAAGATACGTATTTGTTTAAAAGATACATACTGCTTTGTTTATTGCTGGTATACAATTTGTCCAAATATCAAGGCTGATCTTATTTACATTGGTTTGTACTGCCATCTTTACTACATACAAGTTTTATTCTTGGACTCCATATCGGTATTCTATGCAACACCACACTATCTTAATTTCTACAAGGTTTATGGTATATTTGTTACATGGCAAAGCAAGAATCCCTCATTTGCTTTACAAACACTTTTTCTTGGCTAATGCTATGCTTTCTCTTCAAGTAAATTTTATATATACTATGTCAAGTTCTGCTAAAATGTTTTGTTGAAATTTTATTGAAATGCACTGACTTTACAGATTACTTGGGTAGAATTTATATGATACAAGTTTGATTTACCTTATACAGTAGTATGCACATTTTCCCACACATTAAAGATTTTCTTAGAGTATCTGAGCAAATCTTGGACCTTTGACCATCCTTATACGCTTAGAATCAACGTATCAATTTATGTATACACACACACACACACACACACACACACCAGGTACAGATGTTAATTGAGATTATATTAAATCTATTAATACCAAAAAGTTGTGTTGTTTTTTTTTTGAGACGGAGTTTTGCTCTTGTTGCCCAAGCTGCAGTGCAGTGGCATGATCTCAGCTCACTGCAGTCTCTGCCTCCTGGGTTCAAGCCATTCTCCTGCCTCAGCCTCCCAAGTAGCTGGGATTACAGGCGTGTGCTACCATGCCCAGCTAATTTTTTGTATTTTTAGTAGAAATGGGGTTTCACCATGTTAGCCAGGCTGGTCTCGAACTCCTTACCTCAGGTGATCCACCCACCTCGGCCTCCCAAAGCGCTGGGATTACAGGCGTGAGCCGCTGCGCCTGGCCCAAAAAGTTGTAATGTAACTGCTATCTTGACAATATGGAATCTTCCAATCCATGAACTTAATATATCTCCATTTATTTAAATCTTCTGTAATTCTCTCAATAAAATTGTATAGTTTCCTCCATATAGGCCATGCCTACCTTCTGTTGAACTTATTTCTGGGAACTTGATTTTTTAAAAATATATTTGAATAAATGTTCTTTTAAACTTTTTGCTGATGCTGGACACAGTGGCTTATTCTTGTTATCCCAGAATTTTGGGAGACCAAGGAGGAAAGATTACTTGAGCTCAGGAGTTTGAGACCAGCCTGTGCAACACAGTGAGACCTCGTCTCTACAAAAAATTTAAAAATTAGCCAGGCATGGTGGTGCACACCTGTAGTCCCAGCTATTTGGGTGGCTGAGGTGGGAGGATCAGCTGAGTCAGGGAGGTTGAGGATGTAGTGAGCTATGATCATGCCACTGCACCCCTGCCTGGCTGACCAAGACCCTGTCTCAAAAAAAAAATTTTTTTGACTTTGCTTATTGCTGGTATACAGAAATGTAACTGATTTTTTAATACTGATTATTTATCCATCAGTCATACTATTCTATTATTTGGGGGTTTTGATTGATAATACCATCTAAAAATAATTGCTTTGTTCTTCGTTTTTTGTTTGTTTGTTTGTTTGTTTGGAGACGGCGTTCCACGCTTGTTGCCCAGGCTGGAGTGCAGTGGCGTGATCTCAGCGCACTGCAACCTCTGCCTCCCAGGTTCAAGTGATTCTCCTGCCACAGCCTCCTGAATAGCTGGGACTACAGGCATGTGCCACGATGCCCAGCTAATTTTTGTATTATTAGTAGAGACAGGTTTCACCATGTTGGCCAGGCTGGTCTTGAACTGCTGACCTCAGGTGATCCACCCGCCTCGGCCTCCCAAAGTGCTGGGATTACAGGCATAAGCCACCATGCCCAGCCTGTTCTTTTTAAAAACCTGTTTCCTTCTCTTTTTCCTTGTTATACTGACTAGGACTTTCAGAACAATGTTGAATAGAAATGTTAATAGCAGGCATTCATCTTTTTCGTGATCTTTAAGAATATATTCAACATTTCATCATTAAGTACAATGTTTGCTGTAGGGTTTTTGGGCAGATTCCTACTATTAGATTAAGGAAAGTTCTGTTTCAATTTTGCTAAGCTTTCTTTTCATGAATATATGTCAAACTGTATAAGAGATTTTTCAGCATTTATTGAGATATTCCTATATTTTTCCTTTCATATATTAATGTAGTTGTTTACATTACTTCACTTTCTAATTTCAAATCAGTCTTTTATTTTTACCTCATTGCTAGATTCAGTTGACTAATACTTTGTTTATGATTTTTCTATCTTTATTCTTCAGTGAAATTGTATGGTAATTTTGCTTTCTTGTGCTATTCATGTCAGATTTTGGTATAACGTGTATGCTAACATCACAGAATGAGTTAAGACTGGCCCTTGTTATTTTATACACTGGAATAGTTTACGTAAATTGGGATTATTTATTTCTTGTAAATTTGGTAGTACTAGTCTGTAAAGCCATATAGACCTAACTACTGATGCAGTATTATTGGTTACGGTACTACTTGGGCTTTCTAATCTTTTACTAATGTCAGTTTTGGTAATTTCTACTTTTCTAGGAATTAGCCTATTTCATTGAACTTTAGAATTTTATTGGCATGAGGTTGTTCACAATATCTTCTGTTTCTATTTTTAAACTTTAATGGCCAGACACAGGGGCTCTCACCTATAATTCCAGCACTTTGGGTGGCTGAGGCAGGAGGATCACTTGAGCCCAGGAGTTTGAGACCAGCCTGGCAACACTGCAAGACCCTGTCTCTTAAAAAAAAAAAAAATTGAAGGCTGGGTGCGGTGGCTCACGCCTGTAACCCCAACACTTTGGGAGGCCAAGGCGGGTGGATCACAAGGTCAGGAGTTTGAGACCAGGCTGGCCAACATGGTGAAACCCCATGTCTACTAAAAATACAAAAAAAAAAAAAAAAAAA